CCGGAGTGACTCTACCGAGAGGGGAACGTCTCCTTGGCGGTTAAGGAGGGTTCCCGAGACTGATTCCTTCCAGCCGATTATTTTTGGTCTAGCTTGAGGAAGGCTAGTTCCTTTGCTTTTAGACCTAGCGGCCCCTAGAGACTGCTAAGCCGGATCACGTGCGCGTCGGTTGATCTTGTCAACGGACAAAATGGCGGTGTGTGAGGGTATCGAATGGACGTTTGTTCAGCCGTTAACTATAGTTTGGGCAGAGAACTATTTACCTGAATTTACCTGAGGTGCAGCAAATTGTCACACTCGAATATTACCACTCACTACTGGTTATTTCAAGCACTTTAACTGTTCAACACCTTTCACACGTGAACGCCTGGATAGTTATGAGGAATGGAGGGTCGTTCGTGGGCTATCTGACCTCTGTCCCTTCGCTTTTCCATCCCTCCATCCTATATCCCAAAAACAAAATCCTGTCTCCATTTTCCCGCCTGCATCTCCTGGTAGTAGTTGCACCCACTGCCCGAGCAAAGTCCAGCATCAAAATGACAGCAAATAGAAATCAAGTTTTGATATCAACATCAAACTGAAATCATAATTTGATTCCAGTTTACGCACTTGACAAATTTGATACCTAATTTTGCTTTCATTTTGCTGTACATTTGCTCTTCAAAAATATGTTGTTGCGGGTTTGTTTTCATTGCCATAGCAATACCTCAAATTGAATACTTGTTTTGCTATCAACAGGGAAAATGGATATCAAATTAAGTTATTAGTTTGCTCTCACTGATAGCTGAAATAGTTTTCAATGTGATGTCACAGGAAGATTTGTTTGCTCTCAATTGTGACATTTTAACCGTTAAAACGACCAAAACGACAGCAACCTGAGTAATCATTATCAGCGAAATCACAACATCAAATTTAGATATCAATTTGATCTCAGACTTTGCTTGGGTGTACTGTAGCCAATCCCCACTTTACTGTTATACAATTTAAAGTTTAAACAATTCCCTACTAACAAATTGACAATATTTTAATACACAATCTTTTAATAATACCACTTACCAACACCAAATAATTTATAAACACGTGACAGTACTTTAAACAATTATGCACAAATTAAAAATCATACAAATCTTATAACAAACGGCTACAAATTCTAAATTTTCCATGACAGCACTGCTTCTGAACAAACTTGTAAATTTAGCAATTTTGATGGGAATTCTAATAGGGAGCACATATCGTGATAGGGGTAAACAATAGTTGCAATTTCCAAACCTACGACTGGATGCCTTCCTTCAAATAACAACTGAAGTGCGGTAAAAAATCGGTAGAACTGTTTCAAACACACAGTTGGTACTTGAGCGGGTCGGTTTTCATCTCTTTTTGCCAGTGGTGGCGGGGGGAGACACCCCTCACCATCCCTCTCCAAAGGGGGAGTTTGGTAAAGAGAGATGAAAAACCGATTTGTACCTTCCTTAAAAGTTGTCCTAGCTCGCTTTTCTAATATCTATATACAATCTTCACACTGCCGTACTCTAACGGAACTATCAACTTTATGCTTTCATCTACTCCATCTCAGTGTTCACTCGGCTGTCGACAAAAGCAGGCCACTCTCGATGTGTGCTGCGCGATCGTCTGTTGTCTCGGCAGCAACCATTGTGTGGTCCTCCTCATTGTTCTTCATCAGCAGTTCTTTCGGTCGATGCGTCGTCGACTTTGGAAAGCAACCGTTTCGTGATGAGTGTGTGAGTGCTGACCACGTTTTGCGTCCATTGCTGCAATGGACGCGCTCTGACCCTCGTTGGCGTACAACAATTTGCCATACAATGAAACCACTGGAAGCGGCTCCAGTTCTGATGGAGAAGGCTTTTTGGATAGCGGAAGATAAAGTGTTTATTGTGTTGTACCTTTTGACTATAGTTTTAAGATGTATTGTATAGTGATCAAGAATCCTCGGCTCTGTAAAGTTAATTCGGTTGAGCCTTATCAAATAAATTAATAAACAAAAAAAAAAAAATCTACTCCATCTATCGTATAAAAATTACCACTACAGTCTGTTATTTGAAATTAGCATCTTCAACTATGTAAATCGTTGACTTCACGTAGAAGTAATACTAAAAACATATAGTCAAAGTATGAAATGTTTGTTTACGTTCCATGATTTACGTCCAATATGGATTACGTCTCGTGTAAAAGCATTTATTTGTAAGTGTGTAGTTTTAATAAGGGGAAACTAAAAAAGGTGTACATTCCAAAATTACAATTATGGGCGCTCGCTAAAAGGAAACGCACATATTGAAAATCAGTGAGTTTCTAGCTTGTAACTAGTGTTACTCTACTGTCTGTTCCCGGTAAGTTCACAATAGCAAGAGACCTCTCGAGCTGGGTCGCAAGGTCGGCTTACTACTGGGCAATCTGAGGAGCTACGCGACCAAACGTGCAGAATACTGTCACCTGATTAACGTTATGGAAAAAAAAATGCAACCGTGGTTCAAGATGGAAACAATTTATTGAGGACAACTATTGTTTGAGAGTGTTGGTTTACACTACTACTATTGTGGGTGTGGGTGTTAAGTGGGTGGATTATTCTTGAAGAACGTACCGGAACTGCTGATGATGATGACTAATGCTGAAGATGTACGGCTTCGACGACCTTTGGGTGAGCGCTCGCTGGACTCACTGTGCTACGAATTCTGCCAGATTCGGTGTGGCGATCGTGGTCAACGTTGGCTGAGTGGCGGGATGAGGAAGCGGTTTCGTTGGCGCGTGAAACTACTATAGGTCCTCCCAGGCGTCTTCCCTCATAGACTTACATCGGCAGAGCCCAGGCAAGGCCGGAGTGACTCTACCGAGAGGGGAACGTCTCCTTGGCGGTTAAGGAGGGTTCCCGAGACTGATTCCTTCCAGCCGATTATTTTTGGTCTAGCTTGAGGAAGGCTAGTTCCTTTGCTTTTAGACCTAGCGGCCCCTAGAGACTGCTAAGCCGGATCACGTGCGCGTCGGTTGATCTTGTCAACGGACAAAATGGCGGTGTGTGAGGGTATCGAATGGACGTTTGTTCAGCCGTTAACTATAGTTTGGGCAGAGAACTATTTACCTGAATTTACCTGAGGTGCAGCAAATTGTCACACTCGAATATTACCACTCACTACTGGTTATTTCAAGCACTTTAACTGTTCAACACCTTTCACACGTGAACGCCTGGATAGTTATGAGGAATGGAGGGTCGTTCGTGGGCTATCTGACCTCTGTCCCTTCGCTTTTCCATCCCTCCATCCTATATCCCAAAAACAAAATCCTGTCTCCATTTTCCCGCCTGCATCTCCTGGTAGTAGTTGCACCCACTGCCCGAGCAAAGTCCAGCATCAAAATGACAGCAAATAGAAATCAAGTTTTGATATCAACATCAAACTGAAATCATAATTTGATTCCAGTTTACGCACTTGACAAATTTGATACCTAATTTTGCTTTCATTTTGCTGTACATTTGCTCTTCAAAAATATGTTGTTGCGGGTTTGTTTTCATTGCCATAGCAATACCTCAAATTGAATACTTGTTTTGCTATCAACAGGGAAAATGGATATCAAATTAAGTTATTAGTTTGCTCTCACTGATAGCTGAAATAGTTTTCAATGTGATGTCACAGGAAGATTTGTTTGCTCTCAATTGTGACATTTTAACCGTTAAAACGACCAAAACGACAGCAACCTGAGTAATCATTATCAGCGAAATCACAACATCAAATTTAGATATCAATTTGATCTCAGACTTTGCTTGGGTGTACTGTAGCCAATCCCCACTTTACTGTTATACAATTTAAAGTTTAAACAATTCCCTACTAACAAATTGACAATATTTTAATACACAATCTTTTAATAATACCACTTACCAACACCAAATAATTTATAAACACGTGACAGTACTTTAAACAATTATGCACAAATTAAAAATCATACAAATCTTATAACAAACGGCTACAAATTCTAAATTTTCCATGACAGCACTGCTTCTGAACAAACTTGTAAATTTAGCAATTTTGATGGGAATTCTAATAGGTTTGTAACGAGGCCTGAAAGTGGTACTTGTGAGAAGAATTTCAAGAGAAGAATTATATTCCGAAGGGAATTGTTCAGTGACAATTATATGGATATTTCCAAAGGAATACTTAGAAGTATTCCAAAGAAATTCGGAGAAAAGTTTCAAGGGAATTTCAAAAAAATATCCAAGGAAGTTTTAAGAAAATTAGTTGAACTTCAAGGCTATTCCTGTAATCATTTTTAGAGATCTCAAAGAAGAGCTCCTAGGGAAGTCTAAGTGGAATTCAAAGGGGATTTTACGAGAATATTTAGTGAGAGACTGTGTCAGGAAAATTCTTTGGGGAATTTCGAGGTTATACAGCGAAAATTATAAAGAAATTTAAGAGAATTGTAGAGTGAATCAAAGAGCACTCTATTCAGAATTTCTATAGTATTATGGAGAAAATCGTTAGGAAATTCTAGAGAGAGTTTTTAGATGAACTCTGACGAAATTTGAGACTTTGAAATTTGTTATTCGATACTTAGAATGGTTCTTGATTTAGGAAATATATATTCTTTCAAAATTAGGGGGGGCTTTTTTCGACATTCCGGACTTATAAACAGCACCGCACTCAGCACGTGGTGAAGGGGGAAGAATTGCTCAAAAGTTCCTTGAAAATATTAAAATTTTCCTCTTTTTTCATTAAACAAGTTCTCTCAATTCGACCAAGATCTCAGAACATCCATGACCTTCTTGAAACTTCTGGACCGTGACCGTGAAACTTTTGTATGAATTTACGCAAAGGACATCTGAGCAGAAATCAAAGGGAAAATGGAGAATGCTTCAAATTGAGATATTGGATAATACGCCTCTAATAACAAGAGATGAATTCGTTCTTGATAGCCTCACAACTGTATCTCAAATTGATTAAATCATCAGCAGTTGGCTAAACTTTGAAATCTTCTAATGCACATCAATCCCATTTCAGGAATTTTTCTGGAATGAACTTTGTAAACAGATCGGACCAATACCAACAACTGTTCAAGTCGCTCTGGAGCAAACCAAATTCATCCACGCCGGACTGGTTTACCTGGACGATGCTACAATCGACTACGTTGAGGCGGATATCCGTCGTCTTCCGGTGCTGCTGAACAAGTCGGAAAAGGAAGTAGCTACCCTGCTGGACTACAAGGGACATTTGAGAGAGTTCCGTTTTCTGGCCGGTGAGCGGTGTGTCATCAAACTTATTGCTCAAAAAATTAGGGAATCTGGCTTCCTAACCTTTTTCAAACCACAACCTAAAGCCACCACCGATACCAGCACGACAGCAGGCCCGGATGTGATCACGGATGCAACTACCACGTCAACGACAACTACCACAATGGCACCCGTTATCCTGAATCCAGTTGACGTCATGGCGGAAGTCAGGGCTAAAATCTACAGCTATTACGATCAAAGGTGAGTTTTCGGATAATTTGTTCAGTTAACTTGTTGTTAACTTACGCTATTTATGATTCGCAGACGTGAAAACTACGAAGCCGAAGAACCTTTCTTTGAACGGCTGTCCGATTTGGAGGTGGATATCCGGCGGGATCATTTAGGTGATGTGGCACGAGTGATTTGCCCCTTCTGTGATCCACAGTTCCCTTCGACAGTGATGATTCGGCGTGATAAACCTGGAACATGGAAGGTTTCCAACTTTTCCGGACACATTAAATCGAAACACGATGACCTGTGCATTCCCGGGAAGGAAACCTTCGGTCGAGAGGGAGCACGAAAGCGAACGTATCGTGAAGCAAACGCCAGTGAGTACGTCGAGGAGGAGCACTACGATACCATAACCGATCCAATAGTTAAGGTCGAACTATAAGCTACTTAATAGTATTTTACTAGCATTAGATAATATTTATATGTAGACTGTGTGACTGATTCCAATAGATTTATTGAAAGGAATGTTCGGATATTGCAGTTATTGAAGAATTCACCTTGGAACGCTTGCAAACTCTATTGGGACTATTGGAATTTTGTACTTAAAAGTGAATCGAAACTGCCATTGAACATTACAGCTTCTCTATATCACATCAAGGCTAACAAGCTCCTGCAAAGGTTTATCATCAACAAAATTTGGATATTTGCAATGTTTTCTTCGTTTGATTATTTTTTTATGTCGGTCTTATTGCTAGCCTAAAAGCACTTGTTTGTATTATGTATTGGAATATGATGCCAACAGCATGAATAACACAAATTGAATTCAAAACCGCTTGCAACGGATTCCGATCCATAGCGATCTATGATGATACTCAACATTCAACACCAGAATTAAGTGATTTTGGTAAAGCTTTTCTTCTGAATGCAGTTAAACTGACGAGCATTTAAAAGTTCAACGAAGCTGGTAGCGGCCCGTGGTATGTGATCTTGGCTTCCATCCATTTGGTGTGAATCAAACGTTCCAACGGAGTCGATACCATGTCGTTTTGCTTCCGTTCGCCTTCTTCCTGACCGTCGTCGGCGCCTTCCTCCTGCTGGCGGTTGTCCACCGTCATCGCAAGGTAGCATCCGGCAAGGGTGTAGTAGTGCAGCTCGAATCGTTTTTCAGCATGATAGTTCCTCAGCAGTTCTCGGTTTGAATTGAACAGTACTCCAAAGTGACCGCAGCAGCAGCTGACCCAGACGGGCGTGGCCGGTGTTTTCAGACGGGAGCCAGGCTGACGGGATGCCGACCGCATTGCTTCATTTTCGCCTTCCCACACCAGCAAACCGATGGACCCTCGGCCGAGGATGCCGAATTGGGGTAGAGCCTGTAAAGATGAGTGGTTGTGTTTAACTTTCAGTGAGGTTAAGATCAAATTTTCGCAATTGAGGAAATGGCTCTAATGTTGGCCTATGGATCTAAGATTGAGCCTATCGCTAAAAATCTACTGTTTATCAATTTTGTCTAGATGAACGCGTCATTGAGGCGGTACTAATAGATATTTTTGGTCGCTATTGAAATTTTAGTCGATTGCGGAATTTAGGCCAGCATTACATCCGTTTCCCCTACTAGGCACAATTCGCATAGGAAATATTCATCGGAAGCTGTGTGTAGTGGTTTTACAATGCGAATTGGATTTTGTGCCTCTTATGAGTCGTCATCGTGTCAACTGGCAGCAGCATCAGCGCTGTGTGGACACAGCAATCGACTATCCGACGTCCTACCGGAGTCGTTCAAAGAAGTCGATCAGTTTCTGCAAACCATCGAAGAGGCGATATCCCGTGCCAGGGAGCAACACGTACCAGCATCCAGACAGGTGAGTCATACTCTGAATCTTGACAGCCCAGCCAAAGATCTTATCAGGCTCCGTAACACCATTCATAGGCAGTTCGAACGTTCTGGACTGCCCCACTTGAAGACCAAAGTCAATATGCTAACCAAAATTATCCACGCCAGGATGGAGGAACTCAGAAATAACGATTTTGCCAACAAGATTCGCTCTCTCCCAGATTGTGCAAAGCTATTTTGAAAGATGACCAAAAATTTTTATAAATAAGTCCCTATACTTTCCTCCGTTGACCAGAACTCGGACCATGCCTACTCATAACGCCAGTTGAAAAGGCCAATGCTCTTGATCAACATTTTGTGATTTCACATAAGCTTGGCCAAGGCAATTACTAGAGTCGCTGACACCCCCGTAGTAGTGCATGATGATAGTAGAATATCGGTTGATGAGGTGATAGCAGCTATTAGAAGCACTAAAAACATGAAGGCCGCGGGTATGGATGGTGTAGTCAACCTCGAGTTGAAAAACTTGAGTATTGACTTCTTTAACCATCTTACCCTTATCTTCAACAAATGTTTGGAGCTTGCCTACTTCCCTGCAGGCTTGAAGTTAGCCAAAGTGATTCCAATACACAAGCCTGGCAACGATCCTACCAGTTCCAAAAGCTATCGCCCCATCAGCCTCTTGCCCTCCATATCGAAGCTATTCGAAAAGTTTATACTCAGCCACCTGCTGGTGTTTTCAAATGATAATAACATCTTTCTAATAGAGCAATTCGGGTTTAGGAAAGGCCACTCTACCATCCACTAGCTCGCACGGGTTACCAACATCTTTAAACGGAATAAATCCGTTTCCAATACATCTGCCATGGCATTGTTGGATGTCGAGATGGCGTTCAACAATGTCTGGCATGATGGCCTAGTGTACAAAGCTGCATCGATACAACTTTCCGATCTACCTCGTGAAGATCATCAAAAACTTCTTGTCGGGCAGATCATTCCAGGTCTACTTGAACAATGTCCCCTCTGATACCTTCAACGTTGAAGCAGGGGTCCCTCAGGGTAGCCTGCTTTGGCCTATCTTATTCAACATTTTCACGTCAGACGTTCCTCCCCTGCCTGGTGGTGGTATCCTGTCAATGTTCGCAAATGACACCTACATCATCTATAAGGGTCGAGTGATCCGTGCTCTGGCGAGTAAACTACAATCAGGCTTGGATGTTCTGTCCGACTATTCCAAAAGCTGAAAGATTTGTATCAATGCAGTTAAAACACAAACCATTCTGTTTGCACACTCGAATTCACCTTGGCTTGTTCCACCTGCTAAGATCAAGGTCCATTGAATGGTCGAGTGAAGTAGTCTACCTTGGTTTCACCCTCGATAGAAAATTGCTATTCCGATCCCATGTGGACAAGACAAGTGTAACATCTTGATCAGGTCGCTCTATTCTCTGATAAACAGGAAGTCCCCCCTGTCCCTCAAAACAAACTTGCTGTCCACAAACAGATCATTCTGCCGGCTATTGAGTATGGTATGCCAATCGGGGAGAGTTGTGCTTAGTACCACCACCTAAAGCTTTAGAGGATCCAAAACTAGATCCTCAGAATGATCCTTAACAGTCCACAACGAACTCGTAATTCTGAGATTCACCATCTGGCTGGTCTTCAAACACTCGAGGAGCGAAAGACGTCCACGCTGGAAAGATTCAGTTTGCCCAGACCATTCGTGATTTGGCAACCTAGTTTAAGTACTTAGGTAGGTTCCTGTGCTCAAGTAGGTAGATAATCAAATGTTTAAATTCAAACTAAAACAATCCCTTAAAAGGGTATCCTGTAAATTAGCGCTAAACGCAATCATCACATTAGATTAACCAATTAACTAGAACAAAGATGAAGAACCAAAGACTAACCAATTGAAATATTTAAACAAAATGTTGAAACATAAAAAAAAAACCAGCAAATAAACGTAAATTTTACCTACTACTTACGAGCGCTTCTTTGTTTTGAGAACAATGAGCGTAAATATTCATACAATGCGCTCTAATAGGATTTATGTTGTAGCTAATGATCTAACGCATTGGAACAAACCTAATATTGCTTTGTGCACGGTGAAATCATTGATATTATTGATCTTTTCTAATCGATAGAACGGAAATGGGCAATTACGACAAAGTAGCGCTCTACCCTATGCATTTAATTTTTTTTTTCATTTTGTTTCTCTCTAATAATTCACAAATTTACGAATGTAAACAAAATTCCGGGCCGTAGTTCGAAAATGTGTTTTTAGTCATAATCTAGCCTTTCTGTACAGCACGTTGTACGAGAATGGCATAAACGTTCTGTTTTTACGGAAAATATCGATAATTACTTTTACCCTAGACATATTCCAAAACTGTCACAACTTTCATCCTATACAAGGTTACAAAATCACGTATTTACTCTTGGACACATATTGGAATACACACATTGTTTGTGCAAACGTCCACTTCCTGTGTTCCTACCCTACCAGCTGTGAGTTGTATTGTATCCCTATACACTATCAATAAATAGAGTAGTATCTCGAATACCTCCGCCATGGTAGGACGGTCAAGAAAACTGTGTCTTTTATTCATACACAGAAAAACAAAACTACCCACCGGTTGGGTTTTTTAAACTCAAATTTGAGTTATTTGACCTCTGCCCGTTTCATTTCCTCTCGCTATTGTTGTCAAAAATAGAACGAAAGATTCGACTCAACCGTCTAGTTCCGTACGAGAAGCCAAAATTGAGTAATATGCGATATACCCAAATTTGAGTTAATTGAACTTAATTTTGGGTAGAAAAAATTGAAAATAACTTAGCGATGGGTATTTTTTTTTGCCGTGCTTAAATGCAAACTACTTTGAGCCGGTTTACCCAAATTTGGCTTATCGTACGGAACATGGGAGATGAGTGAAAAGAGCTTAATTTTGGGTTGTTTTGAATTTCTGTGTACATCCGTAAACACAACGTAGGAAAAGTTCTGCCCGTGCGCGATCACACATATATATAATTGTCCATTGTGGCGCCATTGTGTGTCGCCAATTTGAAGTCACATTTTATGGAGTTCAGGTTTTAGTTTATCGCATGGAAAATACATAAAAGTTTGCCAAATAGCTCCAATAGCATCTTAGATACATTACTATGAACAGAACTCAGACTTGTTTTGATGGTACGCCTCCTAAACCCGCACTTCCATATATACTTACGTAGTGATCCTCGTCTCCTACATATACAACGCCATTGTGCAAGTACGGCGTGGCACGGCCTGTCAGCATCAAAGTGACTATATTTAGTGATCCTTCTTCATACGGACCCATTAAATGTGCTCCCTTTGGTGCGTCTAAGTCGTTCCGAAGATTCTCCATGCCACGCGTCACAACGCCGCTGTACAGTAGTAGTAGCGCTCCGGGTCCTGGATTCTCGGTGAACTGTGAAAATGGACGATTGGATTATGTTAGACAGAACTGGTTGGGAATGGAACTTGATCGACAGCTCACATAGGGTAGGTACCGCTTTGCAAAAATCTGCATCTCATCCAGCGTGGTGAACTCGAAGAAATACAACTTTTCCGTAACGTTATCTTGGAAGTACACGTGGCTGTGCGAAATGTGCGATGCTTCACCCGGCAGTGCGATAATCGCCTTGGTTTTTTCACCAATATTCCATAGGATATCCGAGATCGCTAGATATAGCGCTTGTGCCGCTTCGGCCTCGGTGGGCTTCAGCAGTTCTTCTAGTGGCACAGACTTATCTCTAGGCTTAACGTCGAATATGAAATGTTTAATGATGAATGCCTGTAGCACCGATTGCATACCCCGGGTGGCATTGCGCGGCGTCCTCAGTCCGTAAGGATACTCCTGAAAGGACAAGGAAAAATGTGGCATAGGAATACTGTTATACTTGTGTTCACTGAGCCAGCACAGCAATTGTTGCCGGATGACGTACTCCGTTTATGGTACCGAAGTTGATTCCGGTGCGGGTCCATTCGCCTCGGGGAGGACTGGCGGCTGAACCGAATACTGTTTGTCGCAGCTCCTGGAATGAGAGTGGTAAGAGGAATTTTACAATCATGCTCACATTTTAGTGGTAATATAAAAAATAAGTTATGAACTAGGAACCATTAGATATAGAAAATTGGTATCATCAGAAAAATTGCTTGACATAAATTGTTCTACAAATTTGTCGCCTATCATGACGGTCTTTGGATATGTTGAATTCTTAAGCAAAGGAATAACCCCAATGTCACTGACTTAATTATTTGACATTGGCCTGCACTTTGTAACGCAAAGTTTTACAACAATGCATTTGAAGCCATTTTGCTGAAGAAACCATTTTTAATCGCTAAGGGAGCGTTGATTAATTATCTCTCACAAAATTCACCAAAAATTCCCCCATCTGTCATATATTGTAACAATACGCGTAGACGCGTTTTTAATTCGTTCCCGGCCACGTGCGTTTGATATATTTTTTTGTCGACGCTTCGCTTTTTTGTTTGTGTACTGTTTGTTTTGAATATGAGTTGTGAAATTTGCTCGCTCGATTCTACCGTTGATACGGTAATATGGACCTGCGTCGGATGTCCGCGAACGTTTCATGCAGCCTGCGTGGGAGTAGGTGTCCTGCGCGGTTCTATTAGAAAAAGGGATAAGAAAATTGATCCGCAGTCATATGTGCTGACTTGCTGTATCTCATGCCAAACGCTCGCTGCGTTAAATTTTAACATAAAATCGCTGACGAAGCAACAGACGCTATTGGCCAACATCACTGGCAATTGTTGTCCATCGTTCAACTCAGCAAAACAATATGGAAGTTGAGTATGAAGCCATATCCGATCAAAGTTTTGATATCAACATCAAACTGAAATCATAATTTGATTCCAGTTTACGCACTTGACAAATTTGATACCTAATTTTGCTTTCATTTTGCTGTACATTTGCTCTTCAAAAATATATTGTTGCGGGTTTGTTTTCATTGCCTTAGCAATACCTCAAATTGAATACTTGTTTTGCTATCAACAGGGAAAATGGATATCACATTTAGTTTTCAGTTTGCTCTCACTGATAGCAGAAATAGTTTTCAATGTGATGTCACAGGAAGATTTGTTTGCTCTCAATTGTGATATTTTAACCGTTAAAACGACCAAAACGACAGCAACCTGAGTAATCATTATCAGCGAAATTTAGATTTCAATTTGATCTCAGACTTTGCTCGGGTTGATCGCCTCGAGGGCCAGCTCAGTGAAATAAAAAAAAAAGAGCTTATGGGCACTAGAAGCACTGGTTCTTCTGGCAACCTAATGGCCATAAAGAACCTATTTGATATAGCGATGCAAGCGTCTAAAGAGACTATATCTACGTCATAGCAAACAATGACGTCGGATATGTCTGATGACTTGAAATGTTTGAATGAAGAAATCAAGCAATCTCAAGCCTCATGATGGACATGAATTCTAGTGCGCCAATGCACAGCAATCCAGTTGAATATTCTTGATGAATTGAAGTCCATTTCTGCTAATATAGCACATATTCATACCGCACCAATCATAAACTCAAATTATACCGATGACTCAGGATGGCGACTTCTGGGTAACAAACGAATATGGAAAGCGGACTGGGCGGACTATGATGCTCGGAAGTTGCATGGCTTGAATCAGCAAAAAAAGGCTGTTAAGACTAAAAAGCGGAAGAAGCAACGAAAAGCAGACGCACATTTCAATCATAGTCACAGTCGTAATCAAAATCATCAAAATCACAATAATTACACAAATCAGCACAATATCATCAACTACAGAATGGATCATCACCAGACAGAATACATCAACAGACAGAATGAAAACAACTGTCTTCCTTATGATAGAGACCTCTTGCGGCAGCGAAAGATCGGTTTTCAAGGCCACCGAATAATTACCGACCAACGATCAAATTTCAAAGGGGTGAAATATTAAACCCCTTCCCGGTGAGTGATGTTTTCCCGCGCCCAGCTCAAGCGCACCCGCCCAACAGGTTGACTCCAGGATGTTCAGCTGCATTGTGCGAGGCGTGTTCTCGCAAGCGTTCGGGTTTTCTGCAGAACTGACGCACCACTTGGAGCAAGACAACATTATCGTGGATCCCAACGAACGCCAGGAATTGACAACTTCTCCGCGTGAGAGGGAGGTAATTAGTTTTAATAATTTAAATTTGTCGATCGATAGATTTTCTACAGTAAAAACGACAGACCTGCCTGAAGTCAATAATAGCAAGAGAAAGTGCGATAGCAAAGGAATTGTAATTTATTGTCAAAATTTCAACAGGATGAAAAGCGCGATAAAGGTCAATGAAATGTATAAGCAGGTAGCCGCTTTTAGTTATCCTATCATTTTAGGCACCGAAACAGGTTGAGATGCCAGCTTAAATAGTAGAGAAGTTTTCGGAGATCGATTTAATGTGTTTAGGGATGACCGCGACAAAACGTTATCCAACAAAAAGTCTAGTGGAGGTGTATTAATAGCAGTGTGTACCGACTATGAATCGGAAAAGATTGAATCAAGCAAGTGTAAGGAGTTTGATCATGTTTGGGTCAAATGTTTTATTGGAAATCAAATTCATATCTTTGCGACAGTGTATTTTCCTCCTGAAAGTGCCAAAAAAGAATCATATGAATTGTTTTTTAGTATTGCTGATTTCTAAATGTGAGCCTGAAGCAAATGTTCATATTTACGGTGACTTTAATCAACGAGCAGTAAATTTCATTGTTGACGACGAAAATGAATCTGATTTGAAACCGATTGTTGGAGACAACGAAACGCTCCATTCTTTATTTGACAAAAGCGCAGAGATTGAACTTTATCAAGTCAATCATGTCAGAAATCATAACAATGGTTATTTAAATTTATTATTTACTCCTGCACCTCTATGTAAAAATGAAATATTTCATACTGCAATAGAATTCTCTGTATTTATACACGATAACACCACAATGTTGGATGGCGATTTGTTGGAAACCTATTTTGACCTAAGACATGCAAACTATGAGCTTATCAAGAATAATTTAAATTCTATTGACTGGCAAAGTTTGATTAGAAGTTCGGGCCCAGAGTAGGCTGTAGATATGTTCTATGAAATTGTATACGATATATTAAGGGGAAGCTCACCGGCCCAAAAATAAAAAAATATTTTCGGTACGTTTTTATTTTTCTAAAAATATTGGGAAAAATTATCAAAAATCCAAGAAAATCAGTTTCTTCCTTAGATTTTTGTCAAAAATTACATGCAAAAAATGTTTTTCTATCCCATCATGAAAAAAAATTGGACTCTCAGAAAAACCGAAAAGTTGATGTTTTGTGGTTTTTTGAGTCCAACTTTATGCCATAATGACTTATAAAACATGTTTTTGCACGTGAATTTTTTTTAAAAAATTAGAAAAAATGTGATTTTTTTAGATTTTTGATACTTTTTTTCAATATTTTTAGAAAAATCAAAACGTAATTATTTTTTTTAGCGGCGAACTTCCCCTTAAAGATGACAGTACCGAAAGAGCTAAGGAAAAAATCAAAGACATCTTAGATTCCAGCATGGTACAATAGGCAAATGAATAATTTCAAAAATAGAAAAAAGGCTCATAAAGCCTATAAAAGAGAACAAAATAATAGTAACCTCACAATTTATTTGAACATATGCGATGAAATAAAAAAAAATGCATACGAACGGTATAACACTCAGGTTGAAGACAAAACTAAATCAGACCCAAAATCATTTTTTAACTTTGTTAGAGACAAACAGAAGTCAAATAATTATCCTTCGAAAATTTACCTAGACAACAAATTGGACTAGCGAGATCAGTAACTTATTTGCTGAGTTTTTTCAGGATATTTACACAAGTCATGATAACCAAGACCGGGATTAATAATGTTACCCTCAACGAAATCTTACATTCTCTAAATACATTGGATGCAGCAAAGAGTGCAAGACCAGGTGGATTGCCACCAGTATTCTTGAAATTAGTATCGCAGGAGATAGTAAAGCCATTGTTTTGGCTGTTTAACTCTTCTCTCGAATCCTGTTTTCTACCAATTTGGAAGGAATCGTATTTGGTTCCAATTTTCAAAAGTGGTAAAAATCAAACGCAAAAAATTACCGTGGAGTTGCTGTATTGTCCTGCATTCTTAAACTTTTTAAATCTATAATAAATCAAAGTGTTTTTGTACAAGTTAAACATTTAACTACACAATCAAAGTGTTTTATGTTACTTCATACGCGAAGTTAGCGATTTTCAGAGTTGGTTGGAAATGCTAACATGAAGCTTTAGTGTGATAATTTATTAGCTAGAGAATGATCTTTAGAAGAGAGTAGGTGGATAGTTCCGTTAGAGTACGGCAGTATGAACATTGAATAGAAGTTGAAAATGAGCGAAGGGCCATTAATGCGACAGTTTTTAAAGTTAGACGCACATCTTTTGCCTAACCCGTACGATGTACGCGGAGACTTGAAGTATGTCTCCAACTCTACAGGCAAAAAATGTGCTTCCTTCTTTTGCTCATAAACTGACTGCGGCTGTGGAATAGTTCTAGCGACGTTTTTCATCACTACCTAAAGCCCCACGTTGCGAGAGCATTTCCAGTCGATGGTGTGTTATAATGCAATTCTTCTTTACCCAACTATTGTGTTGGTCAAGTTGGTCATGACCAGTTAGATTTGAAGGAGATTTGTCGTCAGAAGTCAATGTAACATCTGGTGTGCCACAAGGTTCCCATCTTGGACCATTACTGTTTATTCTATTTGTTAATGATGTAGAGCACATATTGAATATTCTGAATGTATCAATATATGCAGACGACATGAAACTTTTCCTGTAAATTCGTCAAACGTCTGATCTTGTAGTATTTCAACAAGAAATTGATAACTTTTACACTTGGTGCTCAAAAAGTTTATTAAAGCTTAATGTGAAGAAATGTAATTCCATTTCATTTACAAGAAAGAAAATTATTAGACAAGAACATGTAACAATAGGACAAAACAGAGTTGAAAGGTGCAATCAAGTTAGAGATTTAGGTGTTA